GTTAGTTGAAAAGTTTGTGTCTTTATATGAGTTGCAGTGAAAATGAATGTTTTATTTTATTTAATATTCACCACATGATTCTACGTCTATAATTAAAATTTGTTAGATTTTTATATTTTTGTCTAACAACATGTTAATTCTATCAAGTAATCATAATTGCCGTTTCTTTTTATATTTTTATTGATAGCTTGCTATTGAATCCCTTATTGTGAGCCACAGATTTACTAGCAGATAATTATTAGTCGAATACACCTTTCATTATTTTTCAATAACTTTGAAAAACTTTTGACAACGGAAACTGTCAAAGGGAATACAATGGGNATAACATGATCACGAACGTAGGAAATATGACGTTCGCGTCACTTACTTCCCTGGAAATTCTGCGTTTAGATGGCAACAAGTTGGTTACGTTTCCGGTATGGCAACTCGGTATGAACAAGCGACTCGCAGAGGTCACACTCGGCGGTAATACGTGGTCGTGTCGGTGTAAATTTCTGCAAGAATTCTCTTTGTGGGTAAACGATAACGTGGCCATTGTAAGAGACGTTATGGACATCACGTGTTTAAACGTTGACTCTAGTCCACCGCAAGTGCGCGAAATTAAACTGAACAGCACCGTGTGTAGCGATTATTATGCCGTAGGTTCGGTAATTGATAGCATGTTCGTATCGGACTATTTGCCGATGGCCGTTGTGTCGTTGTGCGTGGTGCTCCTGATCCTTTTGGGGCTGATATTGTGGTTCTCGTTCCGCGATTCGGCACGGGTGTGGTTGTACTCGCGCTACGGCGTCCGTTTGTGCAGCTTCCGGGCAACGGCCGCAAAACAGTGCGAGGACAGAGACAAACTCTACGATTGTTTCGTGTGTTACAGTCCGAAAGACGAAGAATGGGTGGTGCAGTCGCTCGCGGCGGAACTGGAGCCGACGTTTCAGCTTTGTCTGCACTACAGAGACGTTCCTCATGCCGCGTATGTGCAACACGCCGCGCCCGCCGTACTGGAAGCGGCCGAAGCCAGCCGCAGGGTGATATTAGTGCTAACTCGCAATTTCTTGCAGACCGAGTGGTCGCGTTACGAACTGAGGCAAGCTTTACACGAAGCCCTCAAGGGCCGAGTGTTCAAGCTCATCATTTTAGAAGAAGGCCCGATACCAGAAGCCGAACTGGACCTCGAATTACGACCGTATCTGAAAACCGGACATCGGATCCGATGGAACGATAAGCGATTTTTCGAGAAACTAAGGTACGCTCTGCCGTAAATATTAAATCTATAATAAAGGTATAATTGGCTTTTTAAATTCTATATTATGATGTGCCTAAATCACGGAACCCTGATTACTGGCTTCTTTTCCGTTTAAATATAGTGAAGAGCAGTGGTTCCTAAATGGTGTTCCGCGGAACCCTTTGTGTTCCATGCAAGGGTCACAGGGGTTCCGATAGGGCAAATACTAGGGTGTCAGGGATATTAAAAATGAAATTATTGCCTATTAATTTTTTATTTCTGAGATGGGGTTCCTCTAAGAAAAGTTAGGGTTCCATGCCCGAAAAAAATAAGAAACCGCTAATGGTGTAGACTGTAGAGAATAGACTTGACTCGTATGATGTCGATTAAAATAGTATTCAGTAAAGGTAAATCCTTTTGCCAGACTTTGAATAATTAGTCATCGACAAATTACCACGAAAAGGCGCCTGGACTAAATTATAGTCTGAAACGAGGTAGATGGTCGTTTAGAGAAAATGATTGCGTTAATGAATCCATACGTTCAGTTGTCAAAACTTGGAATTTCCTGAAATTGTTAAGTCGTTTGTTAATTCCGAATGGACCGTTTACGGCTTGCAATATAATACCATCTAATTTGCATAGAATTTGTCTCCTAATTTTCTGATGTTAGATATCGAATTTATATACTCCATGAATCATTAACCGCAAAGTGATTTCAGCGACATTTTTCTCCGGTTTCTGTTTAAGGATTTCCAAGAAATCATCTTAGATATACAAGTAAATTGTAATTGTTCATTGTTTTGGATTACCATAAGTGATTAGAGATAGACTTTTTTATTTTGGACATAAAGTTACATTGGATTTTTTAATTTAATTTGATAATTTCGGACAATAACACAAAAACAAATATATGCAGAATTGAGGCGGGTACCCGATTTGGATTCGGCACCCACCGGCACTTCTTTTAAGGTCCGATGGGTACCGGCAATGGAATTGAATAATTCTGTAATGTCAGGTAACTCAATCATGGTAAAAAAACAACAGTAATGATGATAAATTAATAAGTACAGTGTAAACTCTTTATAACGTCACTCGATTTAACGACAAACTCCTTAAAACGTCGAAATTGCATGACTTTGGTTGGTTTACATTGTTTTATATACAATATTACACTCTATATAGCGTCACGCTCACTCTATTTAACGACAACAATGCGGCATTATAAAGCATTAAGCAATACTTTCTAAGTTGCCGAAATAGATAACAACTGCAGCTGTGTACGTTGTTGAAGAAGACGATCCTGTCCCTCCACCAAGCATCAAACAAGCACTTGATGCAGCGAAACTATTAAAAAAATACTTTTTATATAATCAAATTGATCCAGCAGTATCTCAAGCTATGAGTAAGATACGTAACAAAATACAATTAAAATATTGGAGCAGCAAAAACCATCAGACGAAGTTAACAGGCTATACGCATTGTACGAATAATAATGTTCGTGTGCAAAATGTGTACTATATTGGTAAATGCATATTATTATAGAATAGTAAAATAATATCTTTTATTTTTCTCCATTTAACTACCACTCTTTATAACGCCGAAAAATGTTCAGTCCTTTAAGTGTCGTTATATAGAGTTTGCAGTGTATAATAATTATGAGATGATGCGGAAGAAAAAGACCACTAACGTATCATTACAAAAATTAACTTATCCGAGTGAAAAACCTTAACTTCTAATCCTAGGTCATGTTGAACGACCAAAAGTTGGTTAGCTAAAGTCTCAACATTGAATATATTCACTAAAGGGTAAATGTTTTTTTAAATCTTCTTATGTAAATTTAATTCATTGTTAATTGTTTCAATTTCCAAAATATTTTTCATGTTTTCAATCAAAATTCAATTGTATAAAATTTCATTTGCCAGAAAACGTTTGTAGGTATCTTATTACTTGCATTCAAAGAACCATTAACAAAAAGTATCGTATTTATTTCTATTTGAAAGCTGCTGAAAGGCTTTCGTTTGTAAAAGCGTCGTGTCTTAACTGTTATTATAATAAGCAATTCCGTTTAACCCTTTTGTTGTTGGAAACGCAAGCCTTCTTTAGTTTTGTTCTTAACGCCAAAGATTTACACATTTTTAAACGTTCGACACGAAAGCCTCTTATCGGATTTCAATGTAATCTTACGCCAGTGCCTTTTGTCATGCTTCCTGCAAAAAGTACAATGCTGTATACTTTTCGAACAATGCAAACAGATAAACAGGACACTTTATCTGTTTCTCAACCAACTTAGTTCTCTAAAAATTGTCCCATTGTGGTGACGAAATGTAAGCGTATATTATACAAAAACGGAAACGATTCTTATTTCGAACTATACCTATCAAGAATTAATGAAATAATTCTTCGTGGCTTTTTACATGCCACAAATTGGATTTGTAATAGTCTCATATCTTATCACTCACTACTTTTAATTAAAAATTTAAACAATCCCAAAACGAAAGAAAAAAAAAATATTAAGGATGTTTGGGAGGTATATCAAACAAATAAAAAAAATTAAAAATTTGGAAGAACGTTCTTCATTCAATTCTAAAAGTCCTGTAAAAATTACAAATCGATTCACTAAACCGTTAAAAAGTTATTGAAATTTTAAAAAATTGTAATTTTACACGTCATTTTATGGAGATTCGTTAACCGAACAGATTAAATTTATTTTTATTAACAGAAAAAAAGCTACCAGAAATTTCAAACTTTTATAATAAGTAACTTGAACTCTGGAGAATCACTTTAGCGTAAGGTTATTCAAATTCACTAAATGGTTATCGAGGAAAAAATGAAAAATTAGCTGAAAATCTCGTTTTTACTTGATAATATAATGATAATATTTATAATTGTCTGAAATAAATGCAATTTTAAAGTTTTAATTATTATTTAAACATATTAAAAAGTTTTACGCTCATTATTAATAGAGATTGAAACTAAATATTTTTTTGTTTCGAAGTTGAAATCAAAGCATATTCACTGCCAAAAGTCAGTTAAAAATTTTCCATATTATTCGTTATTTCTTATTTTATTCAAAGTTTTTGGTTAAATTCCAAATTTTCTCTCAAACCGTATAGTTTTTTTTAATATAGATAGTATTTATTTAGCTTATGATATGCTGCAAAACCTAATTAATCACGAATTTCTAATTTTATGTAGTACTCTTGTCTCCGATTGTATCTCCCAAACATCCTTAAGAAAAAAAGGCTGAAATCCGAAGAAGAAAGCAATAGGAACGAAAATAATAGGTTACTAATACACTAGACGAAGATTAAATTTTAGATTTAACCCTAAAACCTTGTATCGATTCTAGGATCCATCCTGTAGGTAGTAAGAATTACTTTTTCCAACAAAAAAAAGTTAAAATCGCATCTGCATTGTACTAAATATACCTACAAACCTACACGGGTAATCTGTGTTCCTAGAAGTTAAGTAGCGAAGGCAGAATAAGACCCTTTGTCAAGCGTGTTAATCTTCACTTTTGTTCTCCGGTAAGAACGTTTACTTGTTTCTCAAAGTAAGGACAACAAAAGCTCCTATTCTAAGCAGTCGGGATCTTTGTTAATCTTTAATACACGTTACGTTTTCTATCTCCACTGACCATTAGTTTTTCATCTTCCAGTTGCTAGCGCCCTCGATCCTCACGGCAACAAGTCGAACTTTCGTTTAGTTTCCTAGAGGGCGCTTGCGCCAGTTTTCACTCAACTCGAAGGACTATATACCGCAGTAAGCTCGTGGAGTCGGTTTAGTTTTGTGCCGTGTTCGAGTCGATTGTGATCGTGAAAGTCGACTCGGTCCTCTCTCGCGCGGCAGTAGCAGAAAGTTTCAGTTGTTCGACAGATGTTAGCCGAAACAGTCGTGACATCCGAATACGAAAAGAATCACTGAATATGTGCAAAGTTAAGTTGTTACTGAAAGTTTAACGGCGGTAGTACCCGTTTGCGGTATGAAGTTTTTGAAAGTTGGATACTTCAGATTCCCGTAACAACAATTTCCCAACATGTGGATTCAATTATTGGGAAGTGTCCTGTTTATGGTGTTCACTTTGGCAAAAGGAAAACCGGAAGGTCTGGAACAGTGTACGTGGTCAGCCGATAACAAAGACTCTTCGCCTGGTAAAATTGTGGTCACTTGTAAATTTCGAACTCTCGACGGAAGTGGAACAAATTTAAGTGCGCTTCCAGTGGAAGGAACCACGAAGTTGCGGCTGCAGTGCAGCGATGTGCTCTTCTTCGACAGCGAGCTTCCGTCACAAGGACTGCAACGATTACATGAACTTCAAGATCTTCAAATATCCCGCTGCAAGTTGCTCACAGTTGAACCCAGTTCGCTGGAAAACTTGCAGAATCTCCGTAAACTTGTTGTAAACACTTTCAACGCGGAATGGAGCAACTCGAAATCATTGGAACTTCATGGAAAAAGCTTTGTCGGTTTGAAGGAGCTGCAAATTTTGGATTTGGGATACAATAACATCCGAAATATTCCGGAAGAAGTGTTTTGTTCTTTGCCCAGCTTGCACAATCTCAACTTGACCCGGAATCGGATCAGAAGTGCGGAAAGGCTCGGTTTCGGTGGTGAATTCTCGTCAAAAACGGACTGCAGCAACAGTGACCTGCAAATATTAGACTTGTCATACAATGAAATTAGTTCGTTACCGGAAGGGTCTGGATTTTCGCGTTTACGTCGTCTCCAAACACTCGATCTAAAATTTAACAATATCAGTGAAGTCTCCGGGGAAGCCCTCAACGGTCTGGTATCCCTTCGCGTACTCAACCTAGCGAACAACAGAATTGGATCTCTACCTCAGGGACTATTTGCCGGCTCGAGAGAATTGCGCGAAGTACATCTCCAGAACAATTCGTTATTTTCTCTTGCTAAAGGTCTTTTTCACCGTTTGGAGCAGCTGCTTGTTCTCGATTTATCGGGAAACCAGTTGACCAGCAGCCATATTGATGCTGGTACATTTATCGGCCTGATACGGCTAATAGTTCTCAATTTATCGCACAATGCCCTAACCCGGATCGATGGCCGCACATTCAAGGACCTATTCTTCCTCCAGATTCTCGATCTAAAGAACAATTCGATAGGATTCATCGAAGACAACGCGTTCCTACCTCTCTACAACCTGCACACTCTCAATCTGGCTGAAAACCGCTTGAATACAATCGGTCCGCTTCTATTCAATGGGCTATTTGTTTTGAGTAAATTGACACTTAACAACAATCTCATTCTAAACATCGATCCCCAAGCATTCCGAAATTGCTCCGACCTGAAAGAGCTCGACTTGAGTTCCAATGCACTCGAAGAAGTTCCTGAAGCTATACAAGAACTGTCTTTCTTGAAAACGTTGGACTTGGGTGAAAATCAAATAAGCGATTTTCACAACGGTTCCTTTAAAAATTTAAATCAGCTGACTGGGTTACGACTGATCGATAACAACATCGGGAATCTAACGAAAGGAATGTTGTGGGATTTGCCTAGTTTGCAAGTGTTGAATTTAGCAAAAAACAAGGTGCAGAGCATCGAACGTGGTACATTCGACCGCAACACACAAATCGAAGCCATTCGCCTCGACGAAAATTATCTGTTCGACATAAACGGCGTGTTCGCAACGCTGGCGAGCCTCTTGTGGTTGAATCTTTCGAAAAACCACATCGTATGGTTCGATTACGCTTTTATTCCGAGCAATTTGAAGTGGTTAGATATTCATGGGAACTTCATCGAACACCTCGCCAACTATTACAAAATTCAAAAAGAGATACGCGTCAAAACCTTGGACGCAAGTCACAACCGGATAACCGACATCTCGTCCATGTCCATACCGAACAGCATTGAACTATTATTTATCAATAACAATTTTATAAAATCCGTACATCCAAACACGTTCCTAGAAAAGACGAATTTAGTGAGAGTCGACATGTACGCCAATTTCTTGGTAAACTTGGACTTGAACGCCCTGAGGTTATCGCCGGTGTCTTCTAACCGAACTCTACCAGAAATCTACATCGGCGGCAACCCTTTCTATTGCGATTGCTCAATGGAATGGTTACAACTTATCAACAACATGTCGAATACGAGACAATACCCTCGCGTGATGGATTTAGAAAACATAATGTGCAGCATGACATATTCCAGAGGAATGACTCAAATGCCACTACTGACGGCGAAAACTAGTGACTTTCTATGTTCGTACGAAACGCATTGCTTCACACTCTGCAACTGTTGTGACTACGACGCATGTGATTGCGAGATGACATGTCCGCAGAACTGTTCCTGTTATCACGATCAAACGTGGAATACGAACATCGTGGACTGTTCCAATCTCAAAACCAACAAAATACCGCAACGCATTCCCATGGACGCAACCGAGGTCTATCTGGACGGCAACAATCTCACAGAATTGCAAGATCATGTGTTCATCGGTCGGAAAAATATGAGAGTGCTCTTCGTGAATAACAGTGGCATCGAGTCGATCCAGAACAGAACCTTTAACGGGCTTAACGCATTACGAATCCTACACCTGGAAGAGAACAACTTACGCGAGTTGAAAGGTTACGAGTTCGAAAGTTTGTCGCAGATGAAGGAACTTTACCTACAAAATAACATGATCACGAACGTAGGAAATATGACGTTCGCGTCACTTACTTCCCTGGAAATTCTGCGTTTAGATGGCAACAAGTTGGTTACGTTTCCGGTATGGCAACTCGGTATGAACAAGCGACTCGCAGAGGTCACACTCGGCGGTAATACGTGGTCGTGTCGGTGTAAATTTCTGCAAGAATTCTCTTTGTGGGTAAACGATAACGTGGCCATTGTAAGAGACGTTATGGACATCACGTGTTTAAACGTTGACTCTAGTCCACCGCAAGTGCGCGAAATTAAACTGAACAGCACCGTGTGTAGCGATTATTATGCCGTAGGTTCGGTAATTGATAGCATGTTCGTATCGGACTATTTGCCGATGGCCGTTGTGTCGTTGTGCGTGGTGCTCCTGATCCTTTTGGGGCTGATATTGTGGTTCTCGTTCCGCGATTCGGCACGGGTGTGGTTGTACTCGCGCTACGGCGTCCGTTTGTGCAGCTTCCGGGCAACGGCCGCAAAACAGTGCGAGGACAGAGACAAACTCTACGATTGTTTCGTGTGTTACAGTCCGAAAGACGAAGAATGGGTGGTGCAGTCGCTCGCGGCGGAACTGGAGCCGACGTTTCAGCTTTGTCTGCACTACAGAGACGTTCCTCATGCCGCGTATGTGCAACACGCCGCGCCCGCCGTACTGGAAGCGGCCGAAGCCAGCCGCAGGGTGATATTAGTGCTAACTCGCAATTTCTTGCAGACCGAGTGGTCGCGTTACGAACTGAGGCAAGCTTTACACGAAGCCCTCAAGGGCCGAGTGTTCAAGCTCATCATTTTAGAAGAAGGCCCGATACCAGAAGCCGAACTGGACCTCGAATTACGACCGTATCTGAAAACCGGACATCGGATCCGATGGAACGATAAGCGATTTTTCGAGAAACTAAGGTACGCTCTGCCGTCAGTCGAGCCGCGTAGTAAAATTAATGCCAATTATCGACGTAACATAAATAATTATACGATCGACTCGCGCGTAGTAGCCAACGGCACGCACCATCATACGTATCCAGAGAAAATAAAAAATCCCGCTCCCCCTTCGCCCGGTCTCCAGATGTTCCCACCGCCGGCGTACAGTGCCGGAATCGCCCAGGAAGTTGACGACGCGAATTATTCTTCGGCTACCACGGCAACGCCATCTCCTAAGCCGAATCGCAGGATGCAAGAGCCCAGGCCCCTGTCCGATCACATCTATTCCAGTATAGATTCAGATTATAGTACTCTAGAAAGGGGCGGTTCCGGCCGAAGGGGACCTCCGTGGAGGCCTAAGGTCATGATGCACCATGCCGGAGGAGGCAGCGGGCAAGCTTACCTCGTGTGATATAACTGACTGATTAGTCGTAACTAAGACTTTTATTAATAATAATTATAATTACTATAATTATCATGATGATAATATTAAATTAAAGAACAAAAAAAGAAAGTAAAGGCTTTTCGAATTTTCGTGTAACTTCGATTTGTATATTTCCTGTAAATAGTCGTATTTATTTTAATGATTCATTTTGTATTATTTGTGTATATTTACACCAGTTGTATAAAAGACTAATAAAAAGATACCATGTGAATTTTAAATTTTGTATTTATTCGACTCAAAGTTACGAACTATTTCAGATAATTTGTAATGCGAAAATATCGAAATTGATAGGTATGTTAATGGTGCAACAAAAAAAGTAGTTATTATTAATCTAAATATGAGGTAATGGAAAACATTCGGAAAAATTCTAATTACAGATTATATCTGAATTTATTACGATAAATTTTACGAGTTGCTACATTTAATATTCAGTCCAGTTCTGCCTACATCTCGCTTAATATCCACTGGTTTAAAAAATCATATTGAACTGGTTCTAGCAGGAAACTTGTCGTCATGCCTTGACCGTGAGGTCTAGCGACAACATGAAGCCGAGGATTTATAAGAAGCTTTTAGAAAGCATGAACGCAATACCTACTTTTCTTAAAATAAAAAAAATAGTAAGTAGAGTTGTTTTCAACTGAATTAATATTAAGTAATTATTCTAGTAAGTAGAGATTTCTTGAGGTAAGACATTTAAAATGCACAAACAATGGTTTACAATAGATAACTGTATGTAACAATAAATTTTCAAAATTAAAACTGACAATGGTATTAATTAAGAATGAAAAATCTGCCCTTTATTAATCTGTAATAGAAAATTTACTTAAAGTCGTTGTTTTATTGAAAAAAATACTTTTGAACTAGTACAACTTAATTACTTTACACATTCTTAGTGGTTTTATTATTGAGCTAATTTGTTTTTTATTATTTTTCAAAAATATTTCACAATAAATGTAAAACATATTCTATTAAGTTTGCTTTTTAACAGAATCTTTTGAATTAAAACAAATATATAACAAGAAACATGTTGTCGGTATTTTTTTTATTGTATTGTAGTTTTGACGATATATATGTGATTTATTTAATTTAAATTCAATGGTTAATGTGGTAAAAAGCCAAAAGGATATCTGGCTGGATTGAATCGAGGCTGTAAAGTACGGTAGAACAGCGACAAAATGTGTCAAATGGTTTTCTTGTTTGTGCGATATGTGCGACAAAGAACCAGCTAAATTAAATTCCTCTGGAAGATTGTTTCGAAATCGAAGCGAATATTTTCGATCAAATTTAAGCGCACGGCAACATGATTGCGAGGACACAGAGCCGTAACGAATTCTTCGAAAAATCCTCAAGATGATTGTGTCACCATTTTGTCTGCTAGCGTTGCTTATTCTCTTTTTTCTGTTTGCCTTGCTTCTCGTTGGTTGTTTAAACAATAAATGTCGAGAACGATCGGCATCTCGGTTTCAGGAATTTTGAATCTGTACGTACTATTGCAATCTGATGCTACTCTGTTCTTATCTAGAAATATGCACTGTAATGAGTCTGTAACAATTTGTTGCAATAAAAATCTTGTATTTTTGCTAGCATAAAAAATAATCTATGAAAGATTTAAATCTAATTTTTCAGGTGTATATCTCGTATAATTAGTAAATTTGTCAAGTCAAACAATTGGATTTAGTTTTAAACAATAAACCATAGACTGTCATTGGCTGTAGTGTATTATGTAGTGAAATCATTTCAGTTTCATTAATAAGAATTCGCTCTAAGTTCTAATAATGTTTTTAAAATCTTGTGTATGGTACCTGTATTATTTGCTTTCCTTTGTTTGGCCCTTCACAAATGGGGTCTGTAGGAGGCAAACTGGTTGTGTCTACTCTCAGCCGACTGGGGTGTAAATATAGTTGCCGGTGGGGTGCCTGCCCATACATCAATCCATCCCCTGGCATGTCGACTGTGTAGTGGTCTGGCTCATATCAGGCTGACGTTTCAAAACAGAAATATTTAATGACTTTTGAACGTTTCCAGTTCAATCAGACCGATTTGAGTTATTTCATAATTTATATGACTATATGCTGGTTTATCAGAATGGGAAACGGGGAATCATATTGAATTGAAAAATTTAAAACAACACTTCCAGATGTGTAAAGTAATTACAAATACATATCGCACCTGGTTGCTTTATTTTTTTATAAAAATTATTTTGAGTTTTGAGTTTGACAAAAATTTCGTCAAAACGTGCCCTATTATTGGACGACTGCAATACAAAAGAACATAATCACTTCGTTTTTGTTGCTTTTTCCTACCGTAGTATTAAAATTCTAAGCAATTAATCAAAAATTCTATCAACTATCAATGCCCTTCCGAATGCTAAGCCGCTTGACGAAGTGCCTTTTGACTGTTGCTTTCTTAAATATGAACAAATAAGATTTTGATATATTTACAATAACAACTGTGCTTCCCACAATATGGTCAAACTGTCCACGGTACCCAACTGAAAGTCTATGTAAAGAAATTCCCTGTAGTCGGCAGGTAAAAGTGCTCAATATATAGAATAACTTTGATGATCGCGTAGGATTTTACTTATAATAAACGTTGAATATTTATCATTATTATTAATTTGTAATGGAGCTGAGACTGCAAAGTAGAGAAATAAACATTATTAAGGGAGTCAGACAGGGATGCACACTGCCACCGCTACTTTTTAATCTGTACATCGAAGAAGCGATCAATATCATTAAAGACAGTACAACTGTAGGAATAGATATACAGTGGCAAAAGATTTGTATGTTTAGATTTGCAGATGATAGGAAAGAAAAAATAGGGAAAGAGCGAATAGAAAGATAGGAGACAAAATAATTATAAGAAGTGGCCGATTTTAGGTATCTACGAAGTCAGATAAGTCAGGACGGAAGGAGTAGTAGGAATATAAAGCAGAGGATAGCGCAGGGTCGAGTCGCCTTCAATAAAAAGAATTCACTTCTATGTTCGCGAACGGTTAATTTAGAAATTCGAAAAAGGTTGTTAAAGGTGTATGTTTGGAGCGCGGCGCTGTAAGGGTGCGAAACATGGACGATGAGCGCGGCGGAAAAGAAAAGGTTAGAAGTGTTCGAAATGTGGTGTTACAGGAGAATAATGAGGATACCGTGGATAGAAAAGGTTAGAAATGAAGCTGTATTAAAATGATTATGACAGATATATAGAAAGATATAACAGAAGACTCTATGGAAATCAATAATAAATAGGCGAGATAGGTTGGTAGGACACCTTCTCGGATATGAAGGTCTAGTCAGAGACATATACCGAGATTAGATTACTGTTCGCAAATAGTTAAGGATGTGGGATGTTCTAATTTTAGGGAAATGCGAAGATTAGCTCAGAATAGTGGAGGTACGTGTCCAACCAGTCTTAAGACTGATGACCTTATGACGATGATAATTGAGAATTTATTTGGAGCTATTGTAATCATGCAATATCGTACTAATAATAATTTTCGAAACTGTGTGTAAAACAATTTACGGAATCTGTACGTTTGCCTGGAATAATATTGACTTCAGTTTCATTGGTGGTACCTGTTTACCTTAAAATTTATTCAAGCATCACCACAAGTTTGCCAAGTACCTATTTCATTAACATTTCAGACGGTGTTTGGCTTAGCGCCCGCGAGGGCGTCGAACAGAATTAGATTTTATTTCCGTTAACAAACGTCCCGACAGCGTGCATTGAATGTTAATTTTTTTTTTCAATTTCGCCTTCCTCTTGCACGGGTCGCGGCCCATCGTAATAATGATGACCACGATCGGTACCGATTAGAATACATCGATTTGCATTGTATGTGCCTACAGATACGTATATACGGGCAAGTTGCCCTATTTATAACAATAAGGTCAATTATTCGGACATGGGTATTGTGTAAACGATTCGTCCGCTAAATAAGTTTTTACGGGATGTTAAGCGTAATCAGGCATTGTTCTCATTCACAGGACACTACGACAGAAATATTTACTGTAATATGCAAAACAGACTACGTTCATATAAAATACGGCGTGTAATACGTAAATATTCAATTCATGCGTTTCTAAATTTTAATGCGCTTTCTGTCCATGTGTGTGTGTTTTGGTCGAATTCATATTTAATATTCAAAGCCGACTTTATTATATGCGGTTTAACTGTGGTGGGTAGGGACGGTCCTTATGTGTACCTTTGTGTATGTGTATGGGGATCGAGGTCTCGTGTACTTACGTAACGGCTACGTGAGCAGAAAATACAAGCCACTGACTCCCGGTGCCCAAAAACGCCAATTTTATTGACCCGCCGCAAATTCCGTCTTGCGGTAGAGCCATGTGGAAGGGCTGTTTAGGAAAATGTTTTAGAAAGCAGCAGTTTAAGGAAATCATCATCATAAGGTCGTCAGCCCTAAGACTGGTTGGACATGCACCTCTACTCCTTCCTATCCTGAGCTAATCTTCGCATTTCCCTAAAACTAGACTCCTTAACTATTTGCGAACAGTAATTTAATCTAGGTCTACCTCTACCCCTCCTAACTCCTGTTTCTGGCTCTAATATGTCTCTGACTAGACCTTCATAACTGAGAACGTGTCCTACCAACCTATCTCGCCTATTCTTGATTGACTTCCATAGAGTCCACTGTTCTCCGATTCTTTCTAATATCTCTTCATTTCTAACCTTTTCTACATCGAACTCTTATCTCATAACATAGCTCACCTATCTCCACACTATCTTCCTTCTTAACTCATGCGTGCCTGCGTATAGGTTCTCTAAATATTCTTTCCACCTATCTGCCTTTTTCTCATTTTCTATCAAAATGACTCCTGCCTACATCTCTAAAACTCCTATTAATTAATTGTACTATAAGCGTCATCCGTTTTAACTGCTTCAAACTTTTCCTCTACTTCTTTACATCTCATATCAATCCACTGTTCCTTAGCTGTCCCACACTTCCTAATGATTTCCCACTTTATAGACTTATATCTGTCCTGTTTTTGTATTTCCGTCTTTCTTCTATTGATCCTACAATCTCGTTTGTTATCCAGGGTTTCCTAGTTTTGTTTTGTTTGAGACCTAGTGATTCTGTAGCTGCTAAGAAATAATAATAATAAGAAATTGTTTACATTATAAGTATAGATTTTTATTACTAACTGGGAA